GATGGTCTAGAAAATATTTCAACTTTTTTCAGTTTAGAGACAATTCCGCTTAGTGCACAATTAAAACTCTAACCAGGGGCGGAGCCAGAGATTTTATCCAGTGCGGGCGCAATTTTAAGCATTGGCTACAGTAATTTTTTTGGTCAAAATTAATTTATGAATAAAAAGAGCTTCATGTGATCTTGAGAAATCTCGATGCATAAGAAAACATAAGAATTTTGAGAATTTTCAAACATATATTTATCAATTTTATCAAAATTTATAAAAATTTGATTTTGATCCAAACCAAATATGGTCTAAAAAATCACACTTATAATTATCCATTGCCATCATATGTCAAATTTAATGTCTACAGGCTCTGGCCACATTCTGACATTAGGACTCAGTACTAACCTAATTGAAAAAAAGATTATTATAGATATAAGCAATATTTTTGTCGGTGAACTGTATTACAAGTAGTGGTGCATGCATGAGGGTTAGCACTTAGCCAAGTGTTCATCCCCTTCTCCTAGCAAGTGTCACACTTCTCAGTTCTCAAACAGTTAAACGTGTCAACTGTCAATAAAACATTTATTCTCTCCACTCCATGCATGCAAGTATATACATATATATAGATACATTTATTCCTCTCTTCTAAATATAAACAGACTAACAGAGCAGTCGAAACTCACAAGAATGGCCACTGAGATGTTCTTCAGGTTCACACTTCTGCTGCTGCCACTCTTTTCTTCTCGTAAATCACTCGATCTCTCATTCACCTGTCATTTTATTGTACAAGCATGGAACACCAGTTTTTGTAGTTATGTATTACAATAATTCATCTACACAATTTAATTTGTTGCAGAGAATCCAGGTTGATTGTGGGCGATGGAGGTTTTAAAGAAAATTTGCCAAAATGCCCGCACTGGACCCTTCATGGCTGTGCCCCTCCATGTGGTTACTTATTTGAGTAATAAGATAAAATGAAGAAAAAAGTAGACTAAGCCATAGCATTAAAACTTGAGATTTCAGAAACAAAATGATTGGAAATTATTAAAAAAGAAAATCACAAAGTAGAGTGCATGTAAGGTCCCAAAACCATTTTTGGCACTTCAGTAAGATCAAATCCAGTAAGAAAACTAATTTCGAGCTCTTTAATCAAATGACTTTTCGGAGCGCGTAAGTATATGGTACATGTGTCTAACTTGATTTTAAAACAAAATGACAGGTTGCTAAATTTTCAAATTTCCAAAGAAAGCAAAACACTCTTTAATGAGTGAAATTGAAATAGCAAAAGAGTTGCCCCCGGGGCATAACCCAATAGTGCAAAGGATAGAAGTGATGTAATCTCAGCCTTACTGTCAGTCGCAGTGTAAGTGTTCGATTCTTGAGATATGGAATTGGACTCTTTGTGAGCATCAGTGTACAGGCAAACTCTTGTTCTCTAACCTGTTGGGGGCACATCACGCGATTTACCTTCTTCACGATGCTCCAGAGACGAGGCAGTGGGGACCCTCAAAATTGGGATTCAACCTTTTTTAAAATAGCAAGAGTTGTATTCATTCATTGACTTCTTTGCTCAATAATGTAGATAATTAGTGTCTACCTTTGATTTGATTCTTGATGTGAAATCGTCATTGACCCTTTGCTCAGTAAACTTCTCTTGCGAGTCTATTAAATTTGGCTTACCTTAATCCTTAACGGTCTTTATAATTATCGAGAACAAAGTGAGAGAAAGGGCACTCGAAGAAATTGACATATCATTAATAAATCAATCACCAACATTTCTTCAAAAGGGTAATAATGTACAGAGTAGTGACAGTTTAAAGGGTAATAATGTACAGAGTAGTGAGTTTGCAAAAAAAAAAAAAAAAAAGATTTACAAATTCCGGGAAATGGAAACCAAGGCATTTCATTTGGAGAAAAATTGACAAATTTCGTGAAATGTTGACCAAGGTATGTTGAAAATGAAAGTTTGACCAATTCGCTTGTTCGAGTTGATTAAAGATTGTTGCTTCCAAAATTGTTGCGAAGGGTTTAAGGGTTGGTACCATCCATCTCCTCCTATTTTCTCCTAAGAAAAATAAATTGAAATTTTGATTACTCAAGGGCCAACAAACTTGATTGGGGCCTATATTTTTATTTTTGAAAATTGAAAGACTGTACGTGCGATCATCAAAATCATTTATAAATAGATAGAATTAAATGATGAATAAAAGGATTATACTTGTGAGTTTCATTGAAGTGTATAGTTAAAAATAAATTTTGATCATTTATAAATTTTGCCAAACAAAATATTTCTTGTGCCTCCATTTAATTAAGATTTTCTTTTTCTTTTCATTTTTTTTTTTTTGCTATTTTTTAATTAACATATTTGTTCACGGGTAATAGTAAATGCGGTTAGGTGGAGTCGACTTGATACAACATTCTTACCGCAAATTTTTTTTAAGATAAAACAAACAGTTTTCTCAACTTTTAAGTAGAATTAAAATAATTTTAACAAAAAGTAAAAAAAAAAAAAAAAAAAAGTTCTATTTTTCAAAATTTTTTCAAATAAAACTAAAGTAATGAATTGGGCGTTTCATCAAGTCTATTTTTAATTTACATATTTTTTTTTTCCTATTACACATTCACATAGATTTACATAAAATATTCTATAATTAATAGCAGATTTGTATAATTTTTCTTAGATGCGTGTGGATTTTGTGCCTATGGTGGCAATTACACAAAATTCTCACTTTTTGCAACATTATAAAGTAGCACGAATCATTTCAAATTCACATTCTGAAGTTTATCTTGTCAACGAAAATTAATGATCTTGTTTTAGTTAATAAAGCAACTCAAAACTAATAAAATGTGATTATTAAAAATACAAATGATAATAAATTAATTATCTTTGTTATTAATTAATCGCAGTTGTGCACTTGGCATAAGACATCCAATTGAGATTTCAATAATTAAGAGATCGAGAGAGAAGAGTCGACGAGAAATCTTTAATATAAAATCGTAAATGAAATGCTGTAATAAATAAAAAAGTCATCAAGATTATCATAACGAAAAAGGAAATACAATCTAAATCAAAACAACACCGAGCATTGAATACTCAAAAAGTAAGAAAAGAACACAACAGGAGGAAAAAAGACGGATGCAATCACATTAAAGAAACATTAATTAGCAATGGAAAGACGGGTCAATCTTGCATTCGACAGGGAGTTTCGTGGCGAGGTCAGGGTTAATTCCGAGAAATTTGATCCACCCGGAGCTCTTGAATGTGCAAAGACATGGCAAGTTTGCCTTGGGATTGGAAAGAGCCGCACAGCAAGCGGTCGAAGGTGGCTGACCAGTTGTTCCGACCACGGCCGACTTGCATGTCATTAAATCAGTTGGGCTTATGCCACAAATGGGTTCTTCACCCCTTGCCATTGAGGGCTGGCTCCCAATGGTTACAAGTAGAACCATCGCAAAAATTGCAAGCTTAGAGTATGATAATTCCATCTTGGACTAGTAGTGGTACAATCTTTTTCTACTTGTTGGGAACTATCTCCTTTTGTGCTTATAATTTTTCATCTATCAGTCTTTATATAGAAGTTGTAGCACATGGTCTAGGTTATAAGAGTTAAATGGACTATTAATTTATTAGCATGTGAATGATGCTCTTCTCAAAGTGTCATAATTATTTCAATGGATATGATCTCTACAATTTTTTGTGCAAGCCAATCTTGTCTTGGATGTGCAATCGTCTACTCAAAATTACTTATAAGGGAGTTACTATAAATACATTTAGACCCTGTTTAATTTAGATAAGTATCATAACAATTTGAAAGCGAAAACTTTAATTTAAAAAAGTAGATCAAAATTCAGAACGTTGCAAGGCACAACAACTCATCATTCACGTGACTGTCAATTATCAATTATACACTTGTGCCTTGTGGTTCTCACATTGAAGATATATTTCCACTTCAACATAATTCAAAGGACAAAATAGTATTTTGATCAACTAATGTTGTTGAAGCTTACTCAAATAATAGAGGGTCCTACTTTTTAGTCTCAAGAAATCAATGTTCAATCGAGAAGCGAGATCACACAAGCGCTTAATAAGTGATGTGTTTGCAATTAAACTAGTCAAAGTCCATCAAAATTTTCGAATGTTTCTTGATGTTTATACACCAGCGAAACATCACAAAGTCTAAGGCATCACTGATGTTGTCAACAAGTTCCATTCAATGCTCGGATCAATTAGATTTACGAGATTTCGAAGGAATCTTCTTTATTTAGCTGATTATTTACGTCTTATCCAATTCAAAATGGTCCAACAACTTATGCGTGTACGCACTTTATTAGAGTAGAGCACGGACCACTAAAATTGTTTTGACATGAGAATTATGAAAGCCCCGTGAGTGGTTGGTAGACTTGGCTTTACATATCACGGGCTAGACTTGGCTTTACATATCACGGGCTAGCTTTAGCCAATGGTTTGATTAAATAATTTGTTTAATATGTTAATCAGTTAAATCTTTCGATCTTGTTTGATCGTTTGTTTGAAATTGTAATAATTCGGTAGCGTGAACTATTTGGATTAGGTTGTACTGTGTACTTTTAAAATAAGACGTTTGATACAGACTCTCTAAAACTTATTTTCAATTACACATTCTCTCAATAAAATAATTTTACATATACTACATTTTAATCACGTATCACGTATTCTTCAAAAATATCACTTCTTACAAAATCTATATCAAACAAGCCCGAAAATCTGTAATTAAGTTTCCTTTTTATTTGTTTTCTTTTTCTTCGTGCTCATTTTATCTTTAACATAATTAGTTAAAGACAAAACTAAAGAGAATCTAAAGGTCAAGATTCAAGTGCTCACAAAAATCGAAAATTAAGAATTTTAATACCTCAAAAAATACTACAAATTTTCAATACTGTACTAATCGTGTTCTCTATGTGTAAATATTTTTTAGCAACATCACTTCTGAGAAGTGAAAACTGAGTATTTGCCTAAAAACTTACTCAAAACAACACAGCAAGTTCAGGATCTAGAAATAATACATTAGATTACAACACGAAAATCTTGTTCGTTCATGATAAGGGAGCCATCATTCACAAAGACAAAATGGGCGATGGCCAAATATGAAAATAAGTGGCCGAAGCCAAATATGCGCAGACTAGAGAGACATAAATTTTGAACCAGATGGAAGAGAAAAAGGTGAGAAATGTACATGTTCCAGTCAAGATGATTACAAGAACAATGTTCACTACACACTTCATGGTAGACAGGCCCCCTTCTATTCCTTCACGAGGGAAATGGCCTTTTGAATAAAAATCTGACAGCATTTGATCTTTGAGGCTGAATGTATTCATCAACCATGAAGCTACCTGGTCTTCTGAAGTCGGAATGTCTCTAAGGGGAACACGCCGAACATGGATATGAACTTCAGAGGGGTCAACTCCAAAGGCATTATCCAAGAAAGTTGGGCTACGGTGTCTGTATCCAATTGTGATGTCGTAAACTGCATAGATCAAAAGTTTGATTAAGCGATTGCTAACAAAAATAGAAATAACTTTTGACTCTCAATAGATAATAAGCATACAAACCCTTGGCAACAGATTAATTTCACCAGCAAAAACTTGAATGCACAGTTCAATTCTAAGAGACCTTTTTCATTTTTAGCATATCACTAGGCTGGGCTTGTCTGCACAAGATCTGGAGGGCCTGGACCAGCCTGACCACCTCTACAATGGGACTTGGAATTGTCCTTTCCAATTTTTAGCAGTGTGGTGCTTGCAGCTTTTTTGTTCAGCACATAACTCATAATCTAACAAATGCCATCAGGAAATATATTCCCAAAAATCCACAAATCTCAAGTTTCTTTTGAGCTTCATCCAGAGATTAGACTTTGCATTAATTAAGAATGGTCCGTAACTCAGCCCTTTCCCTCATCACTCTTCCCAGATATCTTTTTGTACCTATTTTCTTTTCTTCAAGCATCTAGCACCTTGGCGCAATTTCGTCCTCCGCTATGTACAGAAGCTTCTTTCTAGTTTTATCATGTCAATAAACCCTCAGCTCCACCCAATGTTCTATGATTTTCTTTGTTCATTCTCTTTATGGGGACTAGAAGTTGGGAAATCTCAGTTTTCCAATCTCCAAAAATTTTCAAGTTGAGTATCAAGGCAATGAATGATTTCATTTAGATGATGTCATCATTATTCAAAACAGAAACTTCATGTTTACGTGGTTAAGAAACTTCATTTTACATTACTCTACAGATTTTCGTGTATTAGCATATTTATTATATCGGTATCATAACCTATATCGACCCATAACTAAAGAAGGTAAGCACACAAATACTTATTCTTATTCCGAGTACTGGGCTTGCTCTTTCTGCTTCGACAAAAGTCTGATGAAATCAAGGAAGTTTTTTTTGTTGGGATTACCGTGGAGATAGGAGTATTTATTGTCAAATCAAAAAAACAAAGAGCAAAGCACATCTAACTTAATCTATATATAACAAAGCAACATGAACAGATAATTTAGCCCCCGTTTGACCCCCATTACCTGAAAATGAAAATGGGGGGAATAGTATTTTTTTAGAAAAATGAGTGGTTGAAAAAAAAGAAAAAGTTTTCGATTTACGTGTAATATTATTTTATGGAAGATTGTGTGGTTGAAAATAGGAGAGAGAAAAATGAAATGTAATGTAATTGAATTTAATGGGGATCAAACGGGGGCTTAATGAGCATTATTGAACGGCCAAAAGGGGACAAACACATGCTAGTTTGAACGAACATCATCTTCGTAGAAATCACAAGTAAAAATGAACCATGTGGATAGAAGACCAGTGGTTAAGTAATGGCACACCTGAAGGGATAGTATAGATAATACAGCCCACCAAGACAAGATCACTGTTATAAGCAGATGAAACATTGTATATGAAACCACAAATTGTAGTGCCATGCAGGAATAATATACGTGCAGCGCATCAAAATTGTGAAGCTAAAGTTACAAGCACTTAAAAATAAATATGAAATGAGAGTAGCAAAAAGAGCCTATGAACTTTTAAGGAAACGCATAACATTAGAGGCTATGCTGCTCTTCCAAATTTTTAACATTTGCAAAGAAGATAAAGAAAAACCTGCATCCAATGAGCCCTTTAAACTCTCCAAACATGCATAAAACCCCTTTGTCTTTGGAAGAAGCACATTCTTCAGAACAGGGAGTCCATGCTCAGAAGCATACTTTTGACTGCGTAAGCACTTTTGTTCCCTGCACGCATGAAAGTAAATGAAAGATTAAACATGCTAAATTTATGAACTGGTGTGTGAAGCAGAAGTCCCTCTCCCATTTAGGCCGTTTGGCCTTGCAATCACAAACACAAAAGCTCGAGATGGGACAGGAAAGGAAATACAAACATCTATCTATCAAATCTAGGAGAAAAAGGTAAAAAGTTAATACGTGAAATCTGTGCCTTCTGGGAAAACAGCAAGCCAAAGAGGGTCCTGTGGATCATTGAAGGTTAACAGCATCTGGCGCATGGTTGATTCATCGGCCTCCCATTTCCTCTCTACAGGAATGAACTCCATTATATGAAAAACCCAACCAAATACTGGTAATTTCATCAAACTGCTCTTAAGGATATACTTTATGTAACCCTCACGCCCCTTTCGCAATGCAAGATCCCATAAATACATCCAGTCTACCTCAGTTCTATGGTTTGCAATAAGCAAAACACGTTCTTTAGCCGGAACACAGTCTCCTGAGAAAATCACTTTAGTCTGGTTGATTATCTCAAATAGAAAAGGCCACAAGGCTATCCAACTTCCAAAAAAGAATGCCGTTGCGGTCCTGCTGTAGTGTACGCTGAAAAACCTCAAGACAACTGCTGTCCAAAAGCCAAAATACACCAACAATATAAATGCTGTTAAAACTAACACAATCAAACAAAGAACGCCCCTCAGTATTCTAGGCGGAGTTAGAGGACGGTGCCTGGGATTATTTTTTGAATCAACTATGCTAGATTCCATGAGCTATCAAAACTAACAGAACTAACAGTCCCTTCTTTCGGGTATTTTGAACAAAGCTCTATTTTCACAATTTTTCGATGGTACCGGCAATGTGCACCAGCTGGACATTGAATCTGCTAGAAGGATGGAATTACAAAAATGGGAGCATCTGCAATTGAAGAAAACAAAGACCTGTCAATTAGTAATAAACTGCATCAAACGAATTTTAAAAATTAAGATCTTGTTAACAGTTAAGCAGAACAATGAAGAGAGCATCATCACTCAACCTAATTCTTATGAAGAAAAATCGGTAAAATAAGTTGAAAAAGTACTTCAATTATACTGTATAAGTGGAAAGTACAATTATTGTGCTTCCAAATGCAATAAACAAATAAATAAAATTAATGGGTTGCAACATATGCATTCAACATCAAATGCGTCATCTATTGAGCACATAGTGAGGATAAATTGAACAAGATTAAAATCGCAAAGCAGCATAACAAAGTAAATAGATAAACCCAAATCGGTGTATACCAAGTGCAGGAACTTATTTTCTCTGTTACGATCTAGCAAATCTCAAAATCAAACCCAAGAAAATAAAAGAAAAAGAAATGATGCTCAGACCGGGGAAACGTGAACCTTGTCTATGTGTACGTGTGTGTATATCAACTGGGATTGAGAATATTCATACGGATTCAAGAAACAGAGAGAAACGTGCCTTCGAGGAACCGGCAACTGGGAGGTTTTTCTTTTACTTTTCTTTTAATTTTTTTTCACTGTTACAGAGTGTAATTTGAGAATTTGGATGGAATTTGAAAAACTTTGACATTTTTGTTAATTTTGTCCATCATTATTCATCTCTTTAAGAAAAAAAAATGAAACGCACATACATTACTTATAATTTTGAAAAAAAATAATAATAATAATAAATAATTCAAGAAGTACTTAGAGAGTGTTTGATAGTCATTTTTATGTAAAAATGTATTTTTGAATAGTAAATTAATGTGAAATGTGTGGTTGAAAAATAAGGAAAATTTTTTGATTTACGAGTAATATTATTTTAATAAAGAATGTGTGGTTGAAAAGAAGAAAGAAAAAAATGGCTACCAAACGGTGTCTTAATATTTCAAGAAAGATTTTACTACTTATAAAAAAAAATGTACATAATAAATTAAATAATATGATGTGGAAAGAAAAGATTCAATGAAAAAGGTGTTTGTGTTTTACACTGGCAAGTGATAAAGTGTTATGTAGTATTATGTAATCCATTATGTGTATATATAGCAAGATCCGCTCATGTTTTATTGATAGGAAATTAGAAAAAGAATACAAGACAATGTGTAACTCTCTAAGCGTACTCCGCTCTTCTTACGATACGATAAGAGCGTCAACAACTAGATACATAGCTTATATTATCGAAGAGTATATGAATAATGCCATCATATGCAGGTATTGTAAATTTTACTCATAAGCGAGCATGTTTACGAATTATTTCAGACTCGTTGATCTATACAAGGAGAGAGAAGGTTGCTTCGAGCGCAAACCTCGGGAGCTACAAGACTATTCATGATAAATGATATGAAGTTACAAATAATTTAACTTTAGAATTACATAGTTCTATTTTTTAAAAAATAAATTATTGAAGACGTAATTTTGTCTTGCTTAAAATGTATTAAAATAAATCTATGTTTGGGTATTAATTTAATTTATTAAAAATTTGCTTTTATATAATGAGATCTCGTTTGGTACCCATTTTTTCAAAATGTATTTTTCTCTCTCTTCTTTTCAACTGCACATTCTTCATTAAAATAATATGACACGTAAATAAAAAAATTTCTTATTTTTTAACCACACATTTCCCATCAATTTACTATTCCAAAATGCATATTTACATAAAAATGGCTCCCAAACACCCTCCGAGAATCATAAATCACTTATGGTCGTATTTTGGAAGGCTCCTCTGTTGAAGATATGTGACATGTGAAGCCCCGATAAAGTTATTTGCTTTGTATTAACTTAAATCACGTGTTCTACAATTTGTAGATATTTTCCTATTTCATTGAGTTTTATTCTTGTGAGTTAAGGTTTTAAAAAAGCCTGTTTGGGAGTGATTTTAATAATTGATTTTTTGACCGTTAGGAGAAAAGTGAGGTCTACCTGTGAGAGAAGAAGTCAAATATAATGATTGAAATAGTGAAATAACGGTAAAAAAATCAATGTTTTAGGAGATAAAATCACTCTCAAACAAGGTCATAGTAATATAAATATGAGAAAATTGTAACTCATGTCACTTTTTGGATTGATATTTACAAAAATATCACATTTTAATAGTCTCAGCAAAGCTGCAAAGATATTCCTTCTGAACTTTTTTGACCCTCCACAAAATTTAGCCCCCGTGTGACCCCATTACGTGAAAATGAAAATGGGGGAATGGTATTTTTTTAAAAAAATGAGTAGTTAAAAAATAAGGAAAATTTTTTTATTTATTTATAATATTATTTTATGGAAGATTGTGTGGTTGAAAATAAGAGAGAGAAAAATGAAATGTAATGTAATTGAATTTAATGGGATCAAACGGGGCTTAAACCCCATCTGTTAATTAATGATGATTTAACTAGATGGGAAAAAATTGTACAAACTAGTAGTTAAACATCACATCAAACCCTCTCAACCCCTACTTTCTAAACCAAACCCTAATCCTAAAATCGTTTCATATCTTCTTTTCCAAAAAACAAGGAAATCAATATTTCCCAATTTGTGAAGCCAATCGGACGAACTCAGCAGGGCAATTCTCCCCAATTTATGAAGGAATGGGAAAGTGATATAGCTACTTGTGTTTCTATCTCTACTGTGAAGGAGAAATGCGAAATGACCCAAGAGCAGCCATAATTCCAAATTTTATTCTCCCTATATGTAGTTATGAAGCTAAAAATCAGTGACTATTAAGTGCTACTTTTCTGTATGCATGCTTTGGACCTTTGCATTTTTTTATAAGAAAAGTATAGTTGAGGTATCAAATTTTTCGTTTATTAGCAGACTTTGTCCAAATCTTTAATTTGTACCAACGTGAATACCAAACCTTTCAAAAATATGCAGATCAAGTCCAAAATGACGATTTCTATTAGTTTGACTGTTAGTTGGCCCAATAAATTGACTTTGACCAATTTTATAAGGGGTAAAATTGTAACATTGAAATAAAATTAAAAAACGAAAAAAAAAATAAAAAAACCCTAAGCCACTGTTCATCTTCTCCTTCCTACACCCACCCCCGCACCCCACACATACCCAAGCCCAAAAACCAAAACCTATCCAACTTCTTGGCAATCGCCATCCATCCCACTGACCGTCGCCGCCCTAAACATCATCGTCCATTTATAATAAAACATCATCCAACTTTTAATTTTGGTTAAAAAATTGATTGTTGGTGTGTGTAATTGTTTACACCTTCATCGTCTTTATTACTGTGAATAGTGATTACTGCAATTCAGAGCAACGACACAAATTGCCTTAGCTTCAATTGCAATAAACCATGGCCACACCAAAATTTTGAAGCCTTATCTGTTTCTCTTTCTGACTTCACTTTCTCTTTCTATCTCTACGTACACTTCAATAGAAAACCTACACGGGTTCATCATTCATATGGCCTCCAAAAACCAGAAAAAAGCCTCATTCGAGTCCTTCACAAGTTAGTTCCTCATTCATTAAATTCCTTAAAAATTTCTTTGTTACAGCCCAAAACCATAGAAAAATAAAAAAAACCCACTAACACCACCGCGACCACAACCACCACCATCATCACAGCAATAATCCATTAACACCACTATCTATTGAAGAAGAGGAGGGGAAAGACTCGCCAGATTTAGACCCAACAACTTTATTGCAATAAGCAAGTCCAGATTGAGTTAAAGTTAACTCAAAGGCACTAGATTCATAACCCAATGCACAGTACTTTTTTTATGCTCAATTCATTTACCTGTTCAAATTGAGAGTGAGATTTATATTGTGGGGCAAAGATTTTGATAGAAGGAGCAGTGGTCTGAATGATCCAGATGGAGTGGTGGCGGACATAAGGTGGCGGTGCCGCTAGCGATTACCTCCGATGGTTTTGGGATAGTGGGAAAGAAGAGGATGGTAGTGGGTGATGTGTTTGATTTTTGTTTTTTATTTAATTATAAGAATATGAAAAGTGAATGACTTTTGATTTTTTTTCCCTTTTTTTTGGTTTTTTAATTTTATTTCAATGTTACAATTTTACCCCTTATAAAATTGGTCCAAGTCAATTTATTAGATCAACTAACAGTCAAATTAACAAAAATCGTCATTTTGGACTTGAGTTGCATATTTTTGAAAGATTTGGTAATCACAATAACAAAAACTAAATATTTGGGCAAAATCTGCAAATAAACGAAATGTTTGGTACTTCGGCTACAATTTTTCCTTTTTTATTGGGTAATTAGCACAAAACGTCATTACTTTTTAATATTATTGTGCAAAATGTCCCTATTTTTCATTTTTTTTGGCACTGACACCCTTATCTTCACATTTTATTGCGGAAATCATCATTTCCATCAAATTTTTCGTGTAAAATGACAAATATACCTCATATTTAAATAAACTAATAAAAAAGAAAAGAAAAGTTAAAAAATATATTGCAATCATACTCCCAAACTTTTTTAAAAAAATGTAAATGAGTCAAAATAAATGATTAAAATGGTAATTAACAAAAAATGTCCTTACCTTTTATTATTATTATTATTATGCAAAGCGTCCATACCTTTCATTTTTTAACATTTTCACCCTTATTTCATATTTCATTATGAAAATCGTTATTTTCATCCATTTTCTCAATTAAGAGTTGCAAAATGACAAATATACATTCGTCTTTAAATAAAAAAAATAAAGAATAAATTGCAACTATATTTCCAAAATTTTCAAAAAAGTATAAATAAATTCCAAATAAATAATTAAAAAATAAAGTAATTTTTTTAATTATTTATTTACATTTTTTTTTTTGGAAAATTTGGAAATGTAGTTGCAATTTGTTCTTTATTTTTCTTTATTTAAAGAGAAGTGTATATTTATCATTTTACATCTTTTAATTGATGAAAATAATGATTTTTTATATGAAATATAAAAACAAGGATGAAAATGTTAAAAATGAAAAGTAAAGACGTTTTGCATAATAATGATAGAAGATATCAATGTTTTGTGCTAATTAACCTTTTAATAATTTATTTGAACTCATTTGCATTTTTTTAAAAGTTTGGGAGTATGATTGCAATTTATTCTTTAACTTTTCTTTTCGTTTTTATTGATTTTTATTTAAATAGGGGTATATTCATCATTTTACACGAGAAATTTGATGAAAATAATGATTTTCGCAATAAAATGTGAAGGTAAGGGTAAAAGTACCAAAAAATAAAAGGCATGGGCGTTTTGCACAGTAACATTGAAATGTAAGAACATTTTGTACTAATTACCCTTTTTTATTTTACACTCTATATAACAAAACACGTGTCAATTCAAGTTTATCTATCAGAGCAAAACAATTTTATTTTATATGGATCAACTTTTCTTGGATTTAATTTAGGGATAATTGCAACAAAAGTCCAAAACATTTGAAACATTAGCAGACTTTTTCAAAACATTTGATTTGTTGCAATCGTCACCCCTAACATTTCCAA